GTTTATTGCATATTCCATTAGTAAAATTATAAGATCATGGCTTTAGTTTGAGCACTAGCATAATACTACCCAATGCAATACCCCAAAGGTATCAAGATACATGGTAACAAAGTACTAGGAAATCCTTAGTGGTAGTCAAGGTAGACACATGCAGTATGAATTAAATGATTAAAGGTGCATAGGACAACAAGGATGATCCTATGCTATACTTTCCTTAAACTTAGATCCTTCTTCAAGTATAAAACTTCAAAGATCTGCTTCTGGATTCACCACGTATAGCTCATCGACTGGACAAGATCATAAAGCACTACACAAGCATCCATGCAATCATACACGAAGCAAACAATAGATCTAAATTAGAACAATACACCAAACATAAAATCAAGATGAAAAGTTTATAAAATGAACCTACGTCTTACTATGAATATACAGACGCGAAAAGCACGCTAATCGGAGTTTTGGTGAAAAAGATACATCTACCGATAGATTTTCTTTATACGCGGAAAAGAAAATTATAGGCTTCATTTATTTTTACTATATAAAAGCTTATATAAATTGTATTAAGTCAAATTTAGATTTGAATTATAAAACTAAAGTAAAACAAATCATATTTTATTTATAAAATCCAGTTGCATAATTATTATTCAAATTAGAGTTTAAACCATGAAATTCCAGAAATAGGGACATGATAAACATCGTTACTAACATGTAGATCTCGTTGTAATGAATCTAGCGCAACTTGAACGGGTCAATTTCGATCTAAAACGTAAAAGATATGAAATAAACAAGATTTCCTTTAGTAAAATAATAGATTAAATCTAACCTCGAATTTTAAAAGTTGAAAACACGCTTAGCAGTACTATGAACGTGTAGATTATAAAATTACGAACCTAACGCAAGTTGAACGAGTCAAATCAAAGTTAAAACGGAGAAGTTATGGCTTAAAAAAATAGTGGCAAAACTGTAAATAAGTGAAAACGTATTTTGGATCAAAGTCGAAGAAACTACGCTTTTCAAAGAAGAAGACAAATTCTGAAAAAGTGCTATGGACTATGGGTTAAGGTTCAATTAATTGTAAGGGGATTTTTGCAAAAATGCCAGCGAAGGGGTATCCTTCGATATGGGTCGTCGGATTAGAAGCAGGCGGCTGAGATCGGACCGGAGAGAGAGAGAGAGAGAGAGCATGGATGGCTGGAACAGGGCCGACAGTGAGGTGACCGCGGCGGTGCCATGGAAGAGCTCACCAGAGCTCTCGGTTTTGGCCTACAGAGCACGATTTGACGAACCGGAGACACGAGGAGAGAGAGGGGGCGACGGCGGACTCACCTAGGGCTACCTTGGCGGCGGAGAAGGAACAAGGGGGGTGCGGGGCCCGACGAGGCGCTGGCTCTCGCGGTGGCATTGACGTAGGGCACGGGTGGCTACGACTCGTTTCCAAAACCAGGTGAGGAGGCGGCGCAGGCACGGCTCGGTATTTAAGAGGGCGAGAGGCTTGGGCGACACGGCATCCGTGACGTAGCGGAGCCGGATTCATGGCAACAGCGTCCGAACTGGTCACGATGTGAGGAAGAAGGAGCGCTTGACAGGTGGGCCCGGCTCGTTAGCGAGATGGAGAGAGGACACGCGGGCGCGGTTGGCGTGCAGAGCTGGGCCGGCTGCTTTGCTGGGCCGCTGCGGGAAGAGAGTGGCAGCCTACGAAGGGGAGGAAACGGGTCAGCGCTGAAGTAAAGGAGCGCGGGGTGCGAGTAGCCCTGCGCGAGGGAAAAAGGAGAGGCAGGCCCGTGCGGGAGCAGGCCTACAGGCCGAAAGCGAGGAAAGGAGAAAGAAGGGAAATTCATTTACTTTTCTTAATTCAAAACAAATTCAAATATGAACCGAATCAAGTATAAATATGATTTAAAATACACTTTTCAATTCAATTCAAAATGAAAAATTTTGGTAGGCTTTCAAAAATAAATTTTACAACTTTTTTAAATTCCTTCATTTTCTAATTTTCTTTTCTTTTACTTCAAAGCCATTTTTAATTTCATTTGCAAAAGCAATTTTAACCATTTTAAATTTTCAATCAAAACCACTCAACCAAATAAATCAAATGCAAGGGCATGTATGCTCAAACCTGTTGCTACCTTATGATGAATTTTAATTTAATGCAAAATTTTATTTTCCTTTGTTTTCATGAGCACAAAAATTTAAAATTACCTCAATTTACATCTATTTCAAAAGGAGCAAGTTTTAGGGTGTTATAGCTACTTTTGTGCAGACTGGTACAACTAGATTAAAATGTGGGCCACATGTTAAAAGTTGGACCCTAAAATTAAAAACCATGCGTTCACACCTTAAAATTTTCATAAAATTGACTGAAAGTTGTTGGAGATGAATTATTATAACAGGCGGCAACTCTATGCAGATTATTACAGGATATGTGTTACCTTGTAGAGCTAAAAGTCAGAACAAATGGCGAGGTGAGGTTGGCTAGCATGGTTTGGCTTGCCCAGCTAGGGTAGGCGAGGCTAGCCCAGCTAGGGTAGGCGAGGCTACCTCGTCAGGATACCAAGCTCGCTTATCGCGTTAGGAAACCAAGTGGCCCCTTAACTATCGTATGACTAGAATATTTATATGTAGTTTTTCTTGCTTGGTAGAGGTCCTATTCTTAGACAAACCTTGGGACGCCGATAGTTCTGATGTTCTGAATGTTTTATAATTTTTCATAAGTAATGATGTTTTTCTCCTACAACTAAAAAGAACAAAGTGTGGATATTTTTTTTGTGCGACATTTGTTTTGATGCGTCCGTCTGTCCACGCCTGTGATCCCCGCCTGCTTTGAAGAAAACAAATTGATCACCTGAGACCATATGTATGGAAGGAAACAATAATCATGCATCGCGCGATAGAAAAAGAAACTGCCATCCCTGCGATCCCCGCCTGCTTTGAAGGAAACAAATCGATCACCTGAGGCCACATGCATGGAAGGAAACAATAATCATGCATGAAAGGAAATAATCATGCGGTGCCCCTCTCTCAATCGGTCAGATATCTTTTATCTCCACGTAAACCGGATCATATGGTATTGTCCATGATTTGGAGGGTATTAAATTTAGGATGGGTGCATAATAGGCCACCTAGCTTTATTCTTGCAACTTCTATCTCTTTATGTGTTAGTCTTTGCCAATGGTATAATTTGTTCGCAATGCTCAAGCAAAACAATTGGCAAAGATCAAGCAAGACGACTCAATAAGATTGGCCCTTAATTTTAGTGTTTCCAACATGCAGACCTGAAATTAAAAAGTGGCTGCTCCTTGAGAACATCAGTGGTGCCAAATAAAAGATGTGCAGGTTATATATGGTGAGACTGGTGAACCTTCTGCAAAGCATCCTAATCCTACAACATACATAAATGGCAACCTTAAAGTTACGATATGTTCAAAGGGTGGACAATAAAGACCATCTTAGACGTTCTGACATTAGAGTATAGACGTGCAGGCACAAAGGCATGGTGGTGCAAGTGAGCAGCCAGCAGGAGTCGAGAGTTAGGGAGTGTTTGGATCCTAAGACTAAACTTTAGTCCCTATCACATTAAATTTTTAGATATCAATTAGGAAGACTAAACATGCGTTAATTATAAAACTAATTACATATGTTGTGGCTAATTCGCTTGCCAGCGCCGTGTACAGGATGGTATGGAGATGTGGTAAAACTTATTCGTGGATTTGTTGGCGTACGAAAGAAATGGATATCGAAAATCTCTTCCTGCCGGTATAAAAAATGATCTTAGCCGCATCACGGAAAGATTTACACAGTAGAGTTTGTGAGCCTACGACGCCACGCTCTTTGTGACTATGTAAATTTCACGAACTTAGCTTTTTGATTAAATGTCACTTTAACGCTGGTCATATACTTTTACAGTATTGTTATCTTATCATGCGATCTGTGTATTTTTAGTACAAAAGTTTAGCTGTCCTGTAGCAACGCACGGGCACGAACCTATTTGGATATATACTCGAACCTATGTGTACATGATTATATGGAGATGCAGCAGAACTTATTCATGAATTTATTGGCGCATGAAAGAAATAGATATCGTAGAATTCTTTTTGTCAATATAAAATATTATCTTAGCCGTATCAAAAAAAGTCTGTACAGTAGAGTTTGTGAGCCTGCGACGTCGCGCTCTCCGTGACTATGTTAATTTCACGAACTTTGCCTTTTGAATTAAATGTCACTTTGATGTCGATATTTAATTTAACAGTATTATTATTTTATCGTGTGATCCGTGTATTTTTAGTACAAAAGATTTAATTGTTCCGTAGCAACACACGAACACGCTACGTGCTATCTTAAAACATTAGAGGGTAAAGATAAACGGTACCCTTTCAAAAATATGGGTCAAATTTCCCCTCCCGCTTTTTACTCCCGCTGTCCGGGCCCAAAACATATCTCCACGCTCTATGGGACTGTTCGTTGGTTGGTGCTGATGTTGGTTTAGACTGGCTGGTACTGATTTTTTTTGAGAAAAACACTATTGACTGACTGGTTTAGACTGGCTAAAACCACCAAACGAACATGCTGCATCAGTCCATCTGCTCCTACCCCTGGCGAACCCTATTTCTCGTCAAAAGGAATTATGCTTAGTCAGGCCATACTGCAACCCAGTCGCCGCCGCCCCGCCGCAGGGCTGTTCCCTCCCCGTTGCGCTGTTCCCTCGCCGCCATGTCCGTCCGCTCCCGCAAGCCCTACCCATGCTGGCCACCGCACGCTGCTATTCGTGCCTCCCTCCCCATCTGCCTGCAACTCGACCCAGCCGCTCCAATCTTCGGTCGCCATCCTTGGTGGAGGCGAATGGAGGCGGTGACAGGCGAGAAGGCGGTGCACGGACCGGATCTGTGGCGCCGTGATGAGAAAGCCCGACACATGCGGCTTACCCATCTGAGCCCTCTCCCTCTCTATGGAGGTCACCGTGGTGTCCTGTTGGTGGATCCTGAAGACGACGGCGTGTGGTCCTGATGCGCGGCGGCGGCGGCGGCTCTTACGCGCGGTGCCTGTGGGGGCATCCAGTGACGCGCATGGGGCCTCGCGATGGACGGAGACAGCCCCAACAAGCCCAGTAAGATGGCAGCGAGGCTTTGGCAACATGGGACCGCTGCTCGCCCGCCATGGCTCCATCGTCGAAAGCTTCCGACTCCACTTCCTAACGATCGGTGAGTGCGTCCTTTCGATCCCACACACCCTGGGTTTGCCGGCCCAGATCTCTGCAATCTAATTGTTTGTTTTATCTCTTCCACTTTCCCTGATTTCTGTGCGTTGCACTGGCCGTATCAGGGGATGGGCAGGGATGCCACTGCTGCCTCCGTCTTTGCAATCCTGGGAAGCTGACGCAGCTGATACATCAAAGCAAATCAGGACGCCTCATGTACATGAGGTGATTATGCATGTGCGTATGATGCTATAAATCTACTCAATCTCAATGCACAATATAATTTTTTTGACAAAGAACAAATTGCCATAGCCAGGAGATTGGTTGCAAAGTTAGTTGCAAGGCCTGCTTGATACGCCAAGAAGGTCCAATATCACAAAGCCCACAATCTTTACTATACAGTTCCCATGGTGTCTAAAAGTGGAATTTTTTACACACTAGAAACATAATTGAGGTTCATTTGTTAGTAGCAGCACTGAAATTCTATTTTCTTACCATCAATTAAATTTTATCGCTTTCCATTGTTTGATATTGTTAGCCAGCATAAGCTCAAATGTAAAATAGATGCATATAATAGGATACTAGTTGATATTTTGTTTTAAGTAATGGTTGCTATCTGATACAAAAATGCTATGGACTACTACTAGCCTTGTGCTAAATATTCTTTATGTCTGTTTGTCCCTGAATTCCTTGCCTTTTTCCATGTGACTGCACAATATTCCAACCTTTTTTTTCTGAAATTTAAGGTGGTTGGATACTAGCTATTGCTACAGCAAGCAACTAAATAGAAAGGTCAGTGTGTTACAATTTGTACCTCCATTTAATATAAGAAGTATGCAAGCATTTGCCTAATCAAGGCTTACAGAGATCATGCAATATTCTAAGTAGCATTATTCATGGAATTCCTTAGGCAGCTGTCGTTATATTTCAGTAATAGAATTCCTGAGGTGGCTGTCGTTCCGTCCTGCAGGTTGCTGAGCGCAATAGCTTTATGGAGGAAGTGAAACTGGAAAGGGAAAGACAGCAGAAGGTTATTTGTGTTCAGATCTGATCCATTTACAAGTGTATCCTTGTGTTATGCCTACTGTGGTGTACTAGCTTCGGCTTCAATTAAGCAGGAATATAACTGCCACCCAAATATTCCCTATCCCATTTCTAAACAGTGAATAATTCTGTGGCAATTTGGGTCAAATGTTCTGATGTTTGGTTAAAAGTTCAAACAACATTGGAGTATTTTTATTTGGAAGTAGGGTGTGTATGCCTGATAGCCCTGCTTCTTGTTCTCCTCAAACTTTTCAGGCATATATCCACAAGAAACGTTCCTATCTTATTTCCTGATAATGCATATATGTTGTTTCGATTTATGGAATCAGATTATCCATTTTGTTCGTTAAAGAAATATCTTAGTGGCCATGGACAAAGCATGCCTGTTCTTCTAGATAACGATTTCAGTAACTGTTCCCTTTTGTCACTGAAATCACATGAATCGAGACTGTGGACTTACTGAATCATATTGGTTGCTTACAGGATTCTCTTGCATCCAATGTACTTTAACTGTTTGAATTTGGCACATTTCAAAATTTTAGTAGGAACAAAGAGACTTGGTTATGTTCTTTAGAGCAGTACTGATTGCAACTCTACAATCCAAATCTACTCTACAATCAGTTACAACTTATTTTTTGCAACCTATTGCAATGTTGCTGTTATTAGTAATTCAAACAATATTAATCTGCACAGTTCAATTCTATTTAGTTCTACCTATGGTTTGTGTTTGTCACAGTAGCTCATACGAAAGAACTAACACCTGCCATTGTTAGAGCAACATTATTTCCACTGGTTAGATGTTCTGAAATGAGGGATTCATTCCTCTGTTTCATGGTTTATGGAGTTTAAGTGCTTCATAACTTCTTATATGAAATGGTTAATTTCTTTATTTTTTAAATTATGTTTTTATGGTACACATATTTCTTCTCTAATGCATCTTTTAAATCAATTCTGTTTTCAGGGGAACCATGTATGCTAATATCGCAGGCCCAAAAGTTCCATTCTGCTCAGGCTACTGGTATGCTCATTACACATGTTTTTCTTATTTGGCTACCTCAACCTTGCCTCTTGTTCTTGGTAAACATGATCTTTGTGCTTATCACACAGTTTGGTACTTGTTATCACTGGAAATCTTACTTGTTGACTATCTGAGCACTGTTATGTGTAATGAATGCCTGTAACCTATAGTACCTCTAAGCGACACACTAGAAGTAGTCTTAACTGAAAATCTTTCCCAAAACAAAGAATGGAATGCTAAAACGAATTATATTTCTTCAAAACAATTGAGTGATGTTTTGGCTAGGAGACGATCAAGCAAAAGGAATGTACAGATAGATAAATATAGCGGTGATTTTTGTAGCTTCATTTCCTATGACAATTACATATCCTTATGAAAATGTGATTTGTAATGTCACTGTACCGAAAAACTGACGCCTATGCCAAATGTCAATGTTGTTTTTTCAGGACGAATGTAGAGTTTGAGTGGAGCGCACGAGTGATGTGATGGTCCAAGTCAGGCCAAGCCAAGCTGCAGTGGTGTCTAGGCATCTTTGATGTTGCTGTTTTTAGGAACAAATGTGTTCAATATCTTTGTTTCAATTTTGTGTGTGTAGCCTGAGTTTGAATTTTTGGATCGTTTAATTCCAGATGGGAACAAATTAAACAAGTTAATATTTTGGTTTAATGGCTTTATTGAAATGGTTTGTTGATGTCCTGTGGCATCAAACCAAAAGCGTTGTAAAAGTGGCTATTGGCAACCACATTTTGGATGGTAATATATCCTATAGCAATGAACAATCCATGTAGCAGTAGAGGCTGCACCTTATAGCAACGACAATACGAACGTGGCAATTACACATGTTGTCACCACTTCTTGGTGTTGCCACATAGGTCTTGTTGCCGTACTCGTTATGTGATGCAATAGAGGGTGCATCTTATAGCAACGACAGTGCGAACGTGGCAATTGCAAATGTTGCCACCACTTCTTGATGTCGCCACATAGGTCTTGTTGCCACACTCATTATGCGATGCAATAGAGGGTCATCTTATAGCAACCAAACCTTGGGCGTGGCAATTGCACATGTTGCCACCACTTCTTGGTGTTGCAACATAATCCTTGTTGCCACACGCGTTATGCGTGGCAATACATTGTCTTGCAACACGTTCGTCATTGCTAGTGCACCATTTGCTACGACATGCACAAGTTGCCATTACAAGGTCCAGCAACGCTTAAGGCGTTGCATTAGTTGCTATTGTCACACCTACAACCGTAGCAAAAGCTTATGTTGCAACGCCTAGTGTTACAAATCCAAAACGCATTTTGCAACTCTAAGCAGAAAAGCGTTGTCCAAAGCTTTACCCACGCAAGCGCCTGCAACGCCTCACAACGAAAAAAGTGATGATATTTCTGATATTGCAACTATTTCGGGCCTATTGCAACACTTTTCCGGCGTTGAAATAGGGTCAAAATTTAGTAGTGGAATGTGCTCCTTCTCCATCAGCCATGCGAGCGCGGGTGCATGTTCTGGCCTAGGGGCTGGCCCGTAGAGTTGAACGTTATGCGGCCCAACGCTGCGGTCGAGGCGTCGGGGTCAGGTCGCCGATCCGATTTGATGCAAGGGGAAAAAAGCGAGCAGAGGGCGTAGGCTTCGATTTTCCCCATTCCACCCGCTCGGGCAGAGCGGCGCTTTGTTTCCTTTCGCTCCCTATCCGCGTGAGTGCCCGACTTCGCCCTAGAGCTGGTCCAGGAGGCTTGGTCTGAGAGGCGTCTTGTTGCGGTAAGGAGTTTGGGAAACAGTTCGCCGTTCCGTCCCGTCGCGGGCACACGTGGAAAAGCTCGAAGCAGGTTTCTCGTTCTACGACGGATGGTGCTCGGGGTCTTTGCACCTAGAGTGCGATTGGCGTATTTGCTTGTCATTACGTTGTTCTTTTACTTACTTTTCGTTCGAATTGGAATGTGCTTCATCCTCCTGGGTCTGTGCCTGTGAATGTGTATCTTAGCCTAAGGGCTGGCCTGTAGGGCTAAAATGTGCACGATCTGTTGGACCGATAGGATGGCGGAGGATGATCGCAGATCCGGCATGATGCGAGAAGAAAGCGAGAGAACGACATGAGCCCCCTTCCTTTCGCTCCCCTAGTCCTCAGCGAACGGGTTTCCCATTTCCTCTCAGGCTCGTGCGCGGGTACCTAGCCTTGCTTAGGAGTTGGTTCGTTGGGTCGGTCGGGGCGACCCGAGCGAGAGGTCAGGACACGGGTCACCGGCTCATCGCGGCGCGGGGAGCGATCAGAAGACGCTCAGGAAAGGGTCACTGGGACGGTGACCAGCAGTGCTACATCATGGGACGTGTATATGTGCCCTCGTGTGCGGCCTCCGCGAGTGACTCGTGTCTGGCTATTGGTGAGAGTCGGATCGGGTAACTCGGGGATCTAAGCGGCTCTAGAACGAGGGGCTCGAGCGCGCTGTTCCGTGGTTTGCTCCGTGAGTTGGTCGCGGTTTGCTGAAGCTAGGGGCGAGCCTACATGTGTATGTGGATGTGTTTGGGTAGAGCAGCTAGAGCCAGAGATAATGTTACTGACTAGTGTACCGAAGCTGCTGACGAACCAGTTGCTGTAGCTCAGGGCGTGTCGAGCCCTCGGATGCTTGTTCGTGATGGAGTCGTTGTAGTCTCCGGGCCGCCAGCTGATGAGGATGCTTTTTTAGCGCTTGGAATGGTTGTAGCCGGCCCGGGTCGGTCCTTTGGCTGGCTTTGGGTTGGCCTCTACCATCTTTACATTCTTAACAGGCCCATGAGCCCCTGAGTGCGTCTTCTTTGTGTCCAGCCCGCTGTAGCTTCTGGCCAGGAGGGCTCGTGTGCGCTGACTCTTAGGCCCTCATGTCGCGATGACATCATGATCATCATGTCCTCACCTCTGAGTGCGGTGTGTGCCCCTCGACGAAGTGCTAAAGTGACCTGTTGCTGCTGAAGCGGATCCTGAGCGCGACACGGTTTTATTCGCTCGGCGTGGCGCGCAGCGCGCTCAGGGGGCCCTCCTCTCTGGATGCACGCGCCTCTGGGCTACAGCTGACAGCTTGCTAAGGCGTGATGGGTGGTGTATCTGCCTTGTGGGATGGTGTAGGGTCGAGATGGCGGACTAGAGAGGGGGTGAATAGTCCTTTCTAAATTTAATCGTGCCGGCTAACCGAAACAAATGCGAATTAAAACAATCGGTCTAGCCAAGACTACACCCCTCTATCTATGTTCTCTAGCACCTTGCAAAGATCCTAATTAAGCAACTAAGGTGCCAAGCTAGCTAAAGCTCACCTATCCAATTCTAGAAGCAAGGTCACATAAACCTATGCCACTAGTATTTTGCACACCGGGGTGCTCTTACACAATTCTAGTAAGCAAAAGCACAAAGCTCCTAAGCTCACTAGCAATGCTCAATAACAAGACAACCAATGCCAAATTAGAGAGCGCAAATACTTAGCTACACAAACTAAGAAATGTGACTAACAACGTTACACAAACCAAATTAGCCATGCAAGGGAGCTACTTCTATGCTACACAAGCAAGAAGGTAACTAGTGAGCTACACAAGCTAACTAATTACAAGAGCAACTACACAAGCACAATATATATGAAAGTTATTACAAGCTTGTGTAAGGGGATTGCAAACCAACAGGAAGAACAATGTTGACATGGTAATTTTTCTCCTGAGGTTCACGTGCTTGCCAACATGCTACGTCCCCATTGTGTCGACCACTCACTTGGTCGTTCGGTGACTAATTGGCATCACCCGTCAAGCCCGCACGTCGGGCACTGCAAGAACCAACCCCGAAAGTGAGGGTATCTCAATGACACGCTCAACTAGAGTTGCTCTTCGCGGCTCCCGCGGGGCGAGCACAATGCCCCTCACAAAAGCTCTTCTCTGAAGCACCACACAAGCTTCTTGCAGGCTTCTACGGAGACCACCACCAAGCCATCTAGGAGGTGGCAACCTCCAAGAGTAACAAGCACCACCAGCTTGC